GTCCCTCGGCCCTTAAAGGGGAAAGGTTGCCTACCCCTGGATTATATTGTTGTTTTGTGACTTTATTATTATTTAAATGATTATACAGAAAAGACAAGGAGGTGGAAAATAAACTGAATGTAAAAAATCAGTATGGCCTAGTGGTTTGAGCACTGGGCTATGACACTGGAGACCAGGATTTTAATCCCTACTCAGCCACAGAAATCATAGACTCACAAAACCCCATGATAGGTTTGGCATAACAACAATTGTATACGTGTACCACATATGTTACTTATGTTTGTATTCCATTATTGCAGCTTCTTTTTGAAGGAAAGTGGCTAACACACAAAACCTAGCTGGGATAACAGGTTGTCTTAGATGGGCAAGTGTAGCTCTTCAGATGTTTTTGGACTACAAATCTCATAATCCCTTATGATTGTCTAGTCACGCTGACTAATACCTAGTGGAGTTATAGGCCAAAAGCATCTGGAAAGCCACTGCTTTAAAAGAATGAAGGAATAATTATTAAAGCATAGGAAGCCATAACAGCAAGCAACAAACATGATATGGAATATCTATGTCTTTTGAGAATTTAGCATAAAACATATTGTTGGCAGATGAGCAAATTCTGTAAACATGAAACCAGTCTCCTTGAACTATAGCAAGTGATTTGAGAATCATGCCGAATGCATAGTTTCTAATGTTTGAAATTACAGTATAATCAACAACATCCAGGAAATTAAAAATGCATATCTAGCGGTGGTTATGTAACTCTCACACTTACACGTATTGACAATGTAAGGTCATGAGTTTGAGGATGGCTTCTCCACCGAGATTTCCTGATTCATGTGGGCTGTTAAACAGAATGTGTGTTACTTTAAACCCTGCTATGGGACAGAGATAAAGGCTGATGCTGACCTTTTAAAAAGCAGAGTGTGATGTTTGCTGAACAGATTATGAAAATAGGTTTTTAATCTTATCCAATGTCAAACAGATGTGATTTTAAAATTTCACATTTAAGCAGGTATAAAATATATTCCTACTCTAAGTTACCTGCTAGTAAAATTTACTCTTAAACCAGCCAAATATATGGAGTGTCTTTCCACGTTCTAAACAAGTGAGCCAATGCCAGCAGGCCATGGATGAAAAAGGGCACAATGGAAGGCATAAACTGACTAATCCTGTGTAAGAAAGGCCCATAGAGTGGGCCCTTGGTATCTTATGGGGTTTGGTTCCAGGACCCCCAGTGGATACCAAAATCTGTGGATGCTCAAGTCCCATTGAATACAACGGTATAGTGAAATGGTGTCCCTTATATAAAATGGCAAAATCAAGGTTTGTTTTTTGGAATTTATATATTTAAAAAATATTTTCAAGCTGTGGATGCTTGAATCCATGGATTAAAAAAATCCATGGATACGGAGGGCTCACTGTACTTTTAAGATATTTGGTTGAGGCCCTTCTCCAAATGCCTTCTTTAGTGGAAGAAAGTTACATATGCAGTAAGGAGAGCTCATTTTACATAGAGACACCCCAACTCTTAAAAGGTCCTCCCCAAAGTCGCAGCATTAGGACTAATGTGCAAAGTGCATACTAGAGCACTGACTAGTGAAGTGGTTACAAAGATTCCCATGGATAGAGACCATCTGGTCACAGCCATTTATGCCTTGGTAAGCTCAAGACTGGATTACTTCAGTTCTTTATGTGGAGGGCAGCCTTGGACATGGCTGAGAGTGTGCTGCAAGTACAAAATGCAGCACCTAGGCTTTCTTATTGTGTGTGCATAACCCTTGTGCTGAATGCTGTGCACTTCGGCCAGCAAGGGAATTTAAGTTGTACTTCTTTTGTTTTTTAAGTTCCTAAAAAAGCTCAGGATCTCTGTGTTTGGAGAGGCCCTGCTTACCATTGCTTGTCTGCAGTGAGGGGGGACAGTTTTGTTTCTGCCCATATGGAATTATGGCCTAAGCGAGATCAGGCAGGCTCCCAATGGAGATGTTGTGGGTTGCCAATGGTTGGTCCAGAAATTTTTCAATCCCTAAACTAGTCAGTTACCTCTCGTGATTTAGTGAGTTTAATAAAATGCTGTTTTGTCATTGTTTTGTTATTTTAACTGTATTTTCGGTTTTCAACACTGTAATATTGAAAAATATTTTGCAATTTTTTTAAACATGAAAAACTGGTTTAGAAATGTTTAAAATATGTAATTCAATAGTGATGGCACAATGGCTGGTCCTCCAGTGTGGTACAGCAGTTTGGACTATGATTCTAGAGACCAGGGTTCAAATCCCTGCTGGAACATGAATTTCTCAGCCTCAGAGGCCTCAAAGGATGGCACCGAGGATCTCCCCATTGCGGAAACCTGGCAAGAAAACCCTGTGATAGGGTCGCCATAAGTTGGCAACGACCTGAAAGGAAACAACACAACACACAAAGGACTTGAAATCTGAGCTTTGCTCATTGCAGTGTTGATAGTGCTCAGTTCTCAATTTCTCCCAAAATTGCTTATACTTCTCTAGGTTGAAATGTTTACAGACATTTTATAGGGGAAAAAATCGTAACTCTTCCTGAAACAGGTTAAAGCAGGATTCTCAAAAGTCTTCTGTATGTCACTCAGAGTATACAACACAATGATTCTCCCCATAAGTAATTGTATTCTTGTAGCTATTAGCAGCTTTAGAGACATAGTAGAGAAAGTACTATGAAATCCTTCCATGATGTTCATTTCATAATTATTTCATTTCATAATTATTTTTATTTCCATTTATACCAACTAAAACAATTCTTGTGCAAAGACTAACTGTACCATTTTGACTCCCCATGCCCATGATTAAACCAAAGCAGAGCTTGAAAAAGTTACTTTGGACTGCAAGTCTCAGAATTCCCTGTCAACATGATTCTAGGAGTTGTAGTAAAAGCAGGTAGCTCCCTCGCCCAAATTGTTTCTCAAGCTCTAAGTCAACATAGGGGGGTTGCAGACTGCCAGAAATAGTGCAAATTGAGTCCACTTTTAGGGTTAGGGTTAATGCTAGGGAATCATGGGAATTCTTTTTTTTTTTCTGAGACATTGAACCTTCTCTGTCAGAGAACTCTGGTGCCACAATAAAATACAGTTCCCATGATTCCCTAGCACTAACCCTAACCCTAAAAGAGGACTCAATTTGCACTATTTCTGGCAGTCTGCAACCCCCCATACTTAGGTTTTCAATGATTTAAGCCCAACCTCCAAATCTGCTCTGCCACACTAAAAAAAAGCTGTTTAGTACAAGTTATGCTCCAGTTGCTGCCCCAGCACAGCACTGTGTTCGAATGCTGCTAATCCGCTGGCACTGCAATGAGGTACTAGTAGTGCAAATGTGGAGAAGTGGGATGTAAGCCCCACTGAGTTTATGGACCCTAAATCAGCTTTAATCTGGCTACCTCAGCACTGTGACCTCTGCATGTCTAAATTCAAACTGTTCAGTAATTGCTTTGTTTTGTTTTCAATGCTAAGGGGATCTGTAAATAAATTTGCTGATGTTTTCAGATTCTCATTTGCTTACCTTTTTCTTTTAGGGAATATTTTCCTCATCTTGGCACTTTTCTTCATTCACATATGCTCACCATGTGGTAGAAAACTAGCTAAAACCACCCAGTAATATGAAACAATTCCCTTTGCAGCGCTCTTCTATTATCATACTTAGTATTATGCTGTTTTGTTTAAAATATTTTTATCCCACTTTTCCACAATTCAGTCTCCAAGGCAACTTGTGACTTAGGAACTCTTGGTATTCTGTAACACTATGCTCTGGGAGAGATATATGCTGAAGCATTTGGATAAGAAACATGGTGCAATCATCCGTGAGATCTCTCTCTTTTCAAAAAATTAGAATTAATTCAAAATAATGGCTGGAATCTCATATGTCCTTTCACACAACATACATTTACATGCCCTTAACTAAGTGAATTGCAAGGATGCAACTCAGTTACTGAATTGCAAGGATGCATAACCAATGTTTGTTCAGGGCCCAATGTACACCAGAACCCCTCGCCTGGTCTTGCTGCATATCAGTCCCTTTGCCAGCTCTGCTACATATTTACGAAGAAACAGCCCTCTACTAGATACAGATATTGTGCATTTTCACAATAATACTCTCCACAGAACATAAGTCCATTTATGAGCTTGCAATGCCCAATAGAATTATAACCAATAACTTCAATTTTGGAATTAACCTCCTTCCTGCCACATTAGGTTTCCACATGCACAAAGATTCTGAAATGAAGGTACTTTCAAACCAACGATATTTCACATTCATTTTAAACTGGTGGATACCTACAGTATGTCTCTTACAGACTTCTTAATATACTCTCATTTGGGCCCATGCGAGTGGACAGCATATGAAAAGCTGTTTTTAGGTGTGTTCACCAATGTATTTCAGGCATCACAACTCCCACAAGAGTGTATGCCAAGGGATCTAGTAGCATCTTTCAGACTAACTGAAAGAAAGAAATAAGTAGCATGAGCTACCTCATGTAGTAGTAGTAGTAGTAGTAGTAGTAGTAGCAGTAGTAGACTTGAGCCTACATTCTCAGAAGTAGGGAGCATGAGCAACCTCATGTAGTAGAAGTAGTAGACTTGAGCCTACTTTCTCAGATGTGTGTTAGGAAACTGGCTCAAGTTACGAAATCTCATGCTACCAACTTCTTTCTTTCAGTTAGTCTCAAAGGTAGTACAAGATCCCTTGGCATACTGATTTTCCAGGCTAACAAAGCTATGTCTTCAAATTCATCCACAAGGATGGATATACGTATATATAATAAATACATTATGTGTAGCTGCTTGCTAAAATTAGTCCAGTTGTAAATGAAAAGTCAAATTAATGTTAACTCTTACAGTGCATCCCATTACTTTACTGACGTGAGTCAAAATAATACACGCACCATCAGGCAGCTGGCTAGGCAATCCTGCTAACTGAACTATTTGACTCAAATTCACTGACTTCAGTACAACTCTGCTAGCTTTAATACAAGGATTTTAACTAATCTGGGATCGCCATAAATTGACAGGCAACATGAAGCCATATACATGCACATGATCTGCAGATCAACCTGCTGTTAAGCAGGAAAACGGCTACTCCCCTTCCCTCCCCTCCCCTGAAAGTCAAAACTAGTCTCTGAAGAATGAGTTGTTACTGCAGTACTAATAATACTCTGACTCCTACCGAGATTTTTCAGCGTTTTAATTAACAGCACATTACTTGACAAAATAATTCCATATGCATGTTCTGTAAACAAACCTCAGGCTTTCATACAGATTTGACCTGAAATGTACCATACTGTACTGTGTCTTCACGAATAAGTCAGTCAAATATAAAGAGACACATTTATATGCAGCACCTGACACACCGAGGCCAAAGAGGCCCTGCACAGCGTGTCTGCCAAACATAGACTTCTTTGCTTCATCATAAGAATACAGCACAGGTGTTTACTTGCTTTTGCTGTAACTGCTTTTAAAGGATTTATTTCCTTGTACTATACAATTTAACACTTTTTAAGGAGATACTTAACAGGAGGACATCTCCTTAAACTAGTGGCTCCACAAACAGAAGTTATGGAGAAACTAAAATCCCACAGGATGAGAAATTAGGAAGTGTGTCAATAATAAT